GGACGTTTGTGTGGTCTGTGGTGGCTGCTGGAGAGCAGGTGGCGGCGCCGTGGGCGGTGGCTGTGGGATAGGGATAAGGGTAAAGGGTGGGAGGTTAGTGTTGAGAGAGCATAAAAGGGTTGGACTTAGGGTTTTGTGAGGTATGGGCTGGGGAGAGCCGAGAGTGGATTGTGGTCAGTGGGGGAGTGGGTTTTGGGCTGTGTGGGTCTATGGGCTAAAATGTTGTTGATTAATTTTGTAATTTCGGTTTTTCGGTTCGGTTGTTCGAAAATCGGGTTCGGTTGTGTGACCTTGGTTTCCGAAATATGGCTTTTCTCTTTCCGAATTCCGAACCTAATAACTTAAATTTCGGTTTCGGTCGGTTTCGGTTCGGTCAAATTCGGTTCGGAGAGTCAAACCCGAACCGGATGCCCACCCCTACAATCCATGGATGATGGATCAATCCATTTGCCACCTCTAGTTACATCTCTTGAGGGGATTCCAATGACATCCGCGTTTCAGAAACGTTTACTAATTTTATTATTAATTATTTTTAATTATAACTTCAACCCCTGTTATTTTATCTTCCTTAAATTTTCATATTTAATTTTTGGATGCGCCTATGGTGCTTTGCTAGTCACCGTAACTTGCACTTTTTGGTCGACCTCATTTAGGGTTAGGTCGACCTAATTTGTTGTTTGTGTAAAAACAGTTTCACGGTGCCTAATTTGGAGATTCATATCTTATAATTTGCTAGACGGAAATTGGAGATTAATGACTTGTTTTGAAGCTGGAGTGTCCCTCTATACATCAAAATGCTTGGGAGCTCAATAGGAAGCCCAGAAGACCATTTTTGTACCTGATCAAAAGGCTATGCCAAAACTGGAAAACTGTATGTAAATGACTAAGTATGAGAACGTATTTGTGAAGTCTACTTTGGAGCTCAATTCGACAAGCATGAATGAGAGCCGAGTCCAGAGGCCTTATCACATGAAAGTATGTATGTTTTTCTACAAAGGCAAGACAATGGATGAAAGATTGGATATCTGGAAGGCTTCAAACAAAAGGCTCAAAGTTGCTACAAAGTAAGCTGCCAGAAAAACAGCCTTCGTAGCAACTTTGAGCCTTTTGTTTGAATCCTTCCAGATATCCAATTTTTCATCCAATGTCTTCAATCTGTAGAAAAATATACCTACTTTCACATGGTAGAGGACCCTGGACTTGAATATCATGCATGCTTCTCGAATTGAGCTCCAAAGTAGGCTTCACAAACACGTTCTCAGACTTTTGATCAGGTTCCAAAATGGTGTTCTGGACTTCCTATCGAGCTCCCAAGTACTTCAATGTGTAGATGGTCACTCCAGCTTCAAAACAAGTCATTAATCTCCAATTTCCATCGAGCCAATTGTAAGTTATGAATCTCCAAAGTAGGCACCATGAAACTGTTTTTACACAAACAACAGATTAGGTCAACAAAATCCTAAATGAGGTCGATCGAAAAGTGCAAGTTACGGTGGCTTGCAAGTCACCGTAGCAAAGTCCTTAATTTTTACCCCGTCATAATTGCCTTCTTTTTTCTAAAATAATCTTCTAATTTTCCTAATTTTTGCAAATAGAGGCTCTTTCTAGTTTATTTATTTTTCAATATAATTTCCAACTCTTCCAATTTTGCCATACTTAATTAGTACCAAATATCGTTCTATATATACTCGCACTCACGGGATGAGCTCCTACAGTAGTTACTGGATCGTCATTGTGCGGTTCGCCGATACTGGTCCTTTCGCTCTCCTGCGCCACTCTGTTGTGTTTGTTTTGTAGGAGCCTAGATTTCAAGGACACTTTCCTCACTTGACTCTTTCTCTGTTACAATGGTTGATTGGTGTTGCCTTCGGTGAACGCTATGCAGGGACGGTGTTGGGCAATAAGGGAGTATTTTCTTTGTGGGCTTTCATGCATCAGGTAATATTCTCTTTGCTTTCGGAAGGGAGGAATACATGATCCATTTGTTATGGCAAGTTTGAATATACGATATGCCATAAAATGGTGCTTAACACACTCTTTGTTCTTTCAAATTTCATGGGGATTCTCAACATTCGATACGGCGGATGATGGGAGGAGACTTGGCTCACGATCAGGGTGGAGCTATACTGAAGGATGCTCGGAGCTTGGATTCTCGCTTTAGTTGGGTTTCTTACTATTTTTCTTCTCGTCGACTTAACAGGGTTGCCTGTCATGTGACACAAAAAGCCTTCTCATCGAGAGTTCGGCTATTGGTCAACTCCCGTGCTCTTCTTATTTCCTCTGTATGACTAACTTTATAACTATTGAATTTGTAAAATAAATTTGGGGACCTCCTACAGTAACTTGGGTATAATTTCAAGTTAGGTAACTTGTATAGATCTAAACCGTTAAAATCGACCAAACTTATTTCAAGCCATTGATTAAAAAAATAAAAATAAAAAGTATATAAAAAATTTAATGACAACAGGGGTTGCCGGTAACCACCAACGCCACTTACCTTTCTTAATTTTTTTCTTTCCTTTTTCGCATTTAATTATTTTTCCTTATTTAATAATTTTATTTTTTTAATTCTTATTGAATTAGAAACATTACGTAAGGCTTTCGCAATAACTTAGCATTTTACGTAACATGAGATTGATACTCATTACGTAAAAGGACCTTCCATTACATAAGGCTTTCGTAATGACCTTTTACAACCGTTACATAAAATACAAATCCATTACTTAAAGTTTACGAAATGATAGTTATTTCTTACGTAACAGTGAAATTGGAAGCATTACGTAAACCTTCCGTAATGACTTAACTCTTTACGTAAACACGACGTTAATACTCATTACGTAAAGAGACCTTCTTTTTCGTAAGGCTTCCGTAATGACATTTTCCAAATGTTAAGTAAAATAGACATTCATTAAGTAAAGGTTACAGAACGATAGCTATTTCTTACGTAACAGTTAAATCGGAAGCGTTACGTAAGGCTTCCGTAATGACTTAGCACTTTACGTAACATGAGGTTAATACTTATTACGTAAAAAGACCTTCCATTACGTAAAGGTTACGGAACGAGAGTTATTTCTTACGTAACAGTTAAATCAGTAGCGTTATGTAAGGCTTCCGTAATGACTTAGCATTTTACGTAATGTGATGTTAATGCTCATTACGTAAAGACACATCCTATTACGTAAGGCTTCCGTAATGGATCTTTTACAATTGTTACGTCAGATTACCATATGTTACGTAACCATTACGTAATGCCTATTGTCTTTTACGTAATGCGACCTGTGAAACTTGCTATAGCAGGTAAAAAAATTCAAGTTACCGTAGGAAATCCAAAAATTTGTTGTTGTAAGCACATTTGCCAGATGTTATATCCAAGCATTGTCGGTTTTGCTGAATATCACTCAAGTTTTCCCTTTATTTGGTTTGTTACAGATTGGGATGTTGCTGAGGTTATATACAATCTTTTAGTTCATTTTGGAATTATATACAATCTCACCAACAGAAGTTAAACAATCTTATTTTCATTTCTTTTAACTTCTGTTATTGCTAATTTCTCTTAAAGTATATATGTGCACTCTTTATTTAGTCATTTTACCTTGTTGTTGGTAACTTTTGTTGAATTATACATGTATTTTATTATCATTTAAAAGGAATATCAAACATTATTGTTTGTGAAAATTTGATTTCAATTTTAATGTTGTTAACTTATTGTTTGAAATATATATGCATATTCTTGAAATGTAGCACTATACCATCAGTTTCTGAAAAGTCGCTTTCAAAACTTAATTTAAAATTTTATTTTCAACTTAAATACCAAAGAAAGAATGTGTATTTCTTCTACAAATTAGAGGTAGTCATTTGGATTATAATACTTTGTATAATCATATGTTATTTCTACGATGAAACTTTGTATTAACCTTGTTGTATGAACTAAATTTCTTCAATTAATTCTTATTTCTTGGTTGATTTTTCAAAAATCTGCGAAAATATTTTTTTTTTGTTTATTTTTAAAGCCCCTATCCTTAAATCATGACTTCGTCCCTGGCTACTATATCACAAACATCTTCAGATCGGTACAATCAGATAGAGTTAATTATAATTATAATAACTCATGTATCATGGAGGCGCAGCTGGAGGTTCCAATCTTGAGATAGCACAAGGACATTGGACCCTTCACTTCGCCGGCTCCTCCCGTACTCTTTCTGCACCGACGGATCAGGGCATCGCCGGCGGCAGCCAAGCAGTTGCGGCATGCGTACGTGGCATCCGCCGTCCTCCCATCTGTGTCGCAGGAACCGTACCCGAACACCTGCAGTCCACTCGACGGCGGCCACGTCAGCACGTTGCAGTACTGCATCCCCGGCTTAGCCGGCACCTTGTCTTTCAAATCTCCGACGAGCGCCCTCACCGTGGCAGCATGGCTGCGGCCGCTCCCGGAGGAGTCGCAATACGCGGCGTCGTCGGCGACGGCGTCGGTGACCGGCGGAAGAAAGATGGACACCGATGACGACACTACTAACAACACAAAGACCGCCATAGCCATGCTTGTCTTTTTAGCGTTGTGTATGCCTTACAATATGGGAATGCATTATATTCTGGTCACTATATATGTAAAACTCATAATTTTTTGCAGCGTATTTGATTATCATATTGCGAATAAAAATCAATTAATAAACAAAATTTATTTCTCTTACAACTCATCACTTGTGTACGCCTCTAGAACTGGTGGAGGTCCCGTGCATGGACTCTATCCGTCTTCGGGGAATCTAGGATGCCGGCCTGAAAAGTATTACAATAGAACGTATTCTTAAGAACAATACGCTTTGTTACATGCATCTTCTTTTCTGTCTTCAAAGCCGGGGTTATTTTGTTGGTGATGAGAGAGAAAGGAGTTCAACGCAGCCCGCGACCTCAAAGGCTTGTTTAACCACGAGCAGGGGCGGAGCTCGGATTTCAAGGTCGGGGGCCGAAATTAAAAAATAAAAATTAATGTATAAAAATAATTATTTGAAAAGTACACGATGTTCTTTGAGATCTACAAAATCACTCAATATATCATCTAATCTGAAATTCTTAGCTATCATTCGTTTAATGAAAATAACTAAGCTATCAGCAAGAAAATCATCATTCATTTTGTTTCGCAGTCTATTCTTCACTATCTTCTTAGCTGAAAATGCACGTTCGCCTGTAGCAGTGGAAACTGGAAGAGTCAATAATAGACGAATCAGTCTATCAATAAGGTTGTATTCCTTTCCCAACCTTGTACTTGCTAACTCCTTACATAGATCAGTAATAGATGATAGCTTCTCCAAAGAAGGATAATTAGGAATATTAACCTGAAACATCTTCAACTGGAACTTCAATGTATCAATGTCATCATCTGAAAAATCAAGAGGATAATACTCTCTTGCAAGCTTGCAAATAGCATCAATGTCAAAGGTTTTAAATCCATCTCTAGGATTCAAACTTGAGCTAAGCTTCAACAACTCAACCACTCTATCATTGAATCTTGACCCCAATTTTGTCATCTGAACATCAATAGCAGCATTGAATACATAGCTAGCTGCAACCAATGATAACTGGAGACGATGAGCCATACAGTGTACATAATAGGCCTGAGGAGAGTCCTTCAAAAATAAAGCCTGCAGTCCATTCCACTCACCACGCATGTTACTAGCACCATCATATCCTTGTCCACGAAGATTTTGAATTGGGAACTTATAGAATGAAAGAATCGAGCGAATTGCAGAATACAATGTCTTCGATGTTGTATTTTCCACATGAACAATAGAAAAAAAGCGCTCTTGTATCAACCCATTGGCATCAACAAAACGAAGAACAATAGCCATTTGTTCATGACTGCTTTCATCACTTGCCTCATCCACAATGATAGAATATTTATAATTTCCAACTTCTTCAAAGATGTGATTTCGTACCTTCTTAGCCAAAACATGCAAAATTTGCTTCTGAATCTCATGAGATGTGTACTTCGCATAAGGTGGAGCTTTATCCAATGCCACACGACCTATTTCTTCATTGTGATCAGCTAGAAGTTGAAGAAACTCAATAAAGTTGCCACGATTACTTGACTCTTCAGTCTCATCGTGACCTCTAAAAGCGACTCCTTCCAGTGCCAACAAACGAGCAATAGTTATTGAAGCTTTCACACGGGTTATATTCTTCTGCACTTCTTCAGATGTTTGTCTCTCCATTGCTTTGTCGATGTGGCCAGATTGTTGTAGCAAAGCAGCACCCTTTCTCACGGCATTATTATGATGAGAATTCGGGCCATCCCCAATATGCTTACGAAAAGAACAAGCCAGTCCACCAACCTTTTTCCAATTTTGAAAACCTCCATGTGTAAATGCATCCCAACCAGATTTAGTGGTTGGCTTTTCAGCAAAGAGCAAGGAAGACAATAAGCAGCATCCTTTGTTTCTGAATATTCAATCCAATGAAATTGATCATACCATGAAGGCTGGAAGCTGCGAAAATGATCACCATACTGAGTTTGAGGAAAATTAGGAAGTCGAACTCGGTTAGGACCGCTTGTCAAATATGCCCGCCTTATCTCATCATGTTTGTCATGTGGATATGTCCAAATTGGCTTGCGTAAACCAGGATCACGTTCAACTATAGAGAAAGATGGATTGGTAACTGTTGAAGTGGGAGGAGGATCCTGAGTACCACTTGATGGATGTGAAATTTCTTCTTCCTCTTTGTCTTCTTCTCTCTCTAACAGCTTGTTTGGATATAATTCTGTTGGAAAATGAATTCCATTTCTTGTGAGAATCTGAATTCAAGTGAGAATTCATTTTAAAATTTTATGTTTGGAACAAATCCAAAAGTTTGGGAAATGATTTCATGTTTTTATGTTTGGAAAAAATGGAAATGATTTCTTATAAGTGCTTTTACAATAATATCCTTGGTATTAGTGATTTCAAATCCAAAAGTAGTAAGGGCTTTCTTGTAAAGGTGAGTCAAAATTAATGTGGGGTCCACTAATTCCATCACTCCCTCCACCAATTCCGACCACTTTTGGTAGGAATTAGAATTTCCAACTTTTTGCCTTTTGGAATTCCATTTCCTTTTTACTTTTTACTTCCAAACATGAGAATCATGGAAAATTTGGGAATTGGAATTCCATTTCCTCAAAATTTAGCCTTTCCATTGTTTTTTGTTTTTTCTTCATATTCACTAAAAGAAAAATATGAACGCACATAAGAAAACTAATTATAGTATAATAAAATATTTTTGCTATAGTAAATAAACTTTTCGATTAATATCATACTATCAGTATCACCATTAGCATTGTGATTAAAAGAAGAAATTTTGACGTGGGAATTATTCCCCTTTGGCTAATAATTATGTATCTCAAAACATCACCAAGTCCCAAAAGCTGACAAATTCCATTATTCTTTTCCTTCCTTTTTAATGGTTTGTGCGTGTAAAACAAACTAGCAAGGGAAGGGATAAAATCATGGAAGGCAGAAAGCCTAGGTTTTTGTGCAGGAAAGTTGGAGCATAATGCAAAAAGGTAGCATAAAAAGGCACTCACCTGTTACTGGCCGATCGAATGAAACAAATATGCTAGGATGAAAATTGAAAATCAAGCAGTAGGGCAGTAGAGGGCTAGCACCTAGCGGCAACAGTAGTAGGGAGTAGAGGGCTAGCGGCAACAGTTGTTCTCTGGGAAATTGGGATTAGCTAGGCTTTAGGGTTTCACTTTTTGATTTTTTTTTTTTTTTTTTTGCTATTAAAAGCAATGGGAGTCTTGAGAATTGTAAGGGCTGACAGGAATTATTAAAAAATAAAACTGGGATCGGGATTCGGGAATCATAATAGAGTAGGAATTATTAAAAAATAAAAGTGGGATCGGAAATCATAATAGACTCTAAAAAAACAAGCCACTCAGTGTATGTGTGTGGTTCGAATCCTGTACTTTGGGATTGACAAATTAGTCACTCAACCAACACGCCACCTAGAAATATTTGTTATGATGTTGTATGCAACCTAATTTTAGTATTTCGGTAAAAGTCCTAGGTGCTCATAGTCCTATTCCAAAATTCTCGGGGGGGGGGGGGGGGGGGGGGGGGGGGGGGGGGGGTGTTGGGGGGCCGGGCCCCCGAAGGACACTGTAGCTCCGCCCCTGACCACGAGAGGCGGCTATTTGCAAAACAAAGTACACAGTGAATAGCGAATCGTTATAGAAATGATAGTATGTTGACTCGATTTCTAATAGTCATGTCAACCTAAGGAGAACTCTTGAAATTAAGATGTTAGCCAGGTGAGAATGTGATCAGAATAATAACATCAATCACACCTTATGTTAGAATTTCAAGTAAGCAAACCATCCATGTCAATATCTTATCTTTAAATCAATCAATTGCATGCTATACATACATTCTAAAAAATCCAATTGACTACTCATACAAATATATCATCAACCATCTAGCTAACTAGCCAGCTCTCTCAACTAACTACAGTAAAACATTTAACATTTATAAATGAATATAGTTGGGAACGTGAAAACTAATAATTTACAGTATCTAAGATTTAATGATTTATTAATTAGTAATAGTATTATTTTTGTTTTATGATAACGGCTACCCGAATTAGTTACTTCACTGATGTCCATTTTATGCATATATGAGGGTGTTGTATTCCTTGCTTTCGCGTTTGGCACTTCCTCGGATGGTTTATCAGGGGATCGTTTCTTCGCATTCACATTTGAAAACAGTTGGATTGGGTGTTTGGGAATCCGATTTCTGGTTGCAATAGTTGCCCGATTTCTGATTCGATCGAAAAACCGTAACCGGATTCCCAACCATACTAAACAATCCACTAATGAAAATAATCATTTCAAACAAATCCCTAAAAGTAGAATTAACTAATTCACCGTGATTATTCATTTTCTAGTAACTCGAATTATTCTAAAAGGTCAAACTATAGATCTTATAACGACACCCCCACCGCCTAGAAATACAGCATATCTATCGGAGAATTGGGGCGCAGATGTACAGTCAGCTAGCTTAACGAGCGGGCCGGACACCCGCCGAACCCGACCCTGACATAACAAAGGTCATGCTCGCCGATCACTTGACCCGACCCGGTTCCCTGGCAACCACCCATCAATATATTGCCGGCGATCGACAAGCATCCGTGGCATGCGGCGTCGTTCTTTTTAACCAACTTGCAGTAGGCGGATCCGTACATCTGCAATCCGTTCCACGTCCGCACGCTGCAGAAGTTGTGCCGACCTTCCAGCTTGTTGTCACGTCGTGGCACTTTGCCCATCAAACCTCTGATCAGAGAATGCTTGAGTTGCGCCGCCGTAAATCCCACGTCGCCGCCACCGTGAATCCCGCCGAGACATTTGACGTGGAAGCCGTCGTCCCCCACGGCGGCACTGATGATCATCATCAGAGGAAACGTAATGGACGATGATATCAACCTGATTACCGCCATAAAAATGGATTAGGCCAGAGCGTTAGTTATTCTTAATTTCTTTGTTATCCCATCCCCCTCCTTTCCTCCCAGTTTCTTTGTTTTCTGGTCACTATATATCTGTCTCCAGGATGGCAAGAAAGAAAACGATTTCCGCTAGCTAGTTCCCGCAGTCTCTGGCTAATTATCTTGGCTGCATATGCATGTATTCGAGTTTGTCATAACTATCTCTAGTGACGGGGCTTCGAAGGTTGACGAGGTTTGTACGCTTGGAATTGTTGGTTAATTAATTAATTACTCGGTTATATATATATCGAAAGCTGGAAAAAGATTATTAATCGTACTAAAACAACATCATATAATCAAACGTAACAGGATTCGATTTTTTGAACAGCGTGATTTGTCGAGTAGTGGGGGCTATAGAGATGCATGCAGGCTGCTGTCTAATTAATTACGGACAGAGTCCGAGAAGACAAGAAGACAGAGGATGACCTTAGGTCACACAATCCGTCCAACACGGGTTGTAGGGTTGGCAACGGGGCGGATCGGGGACGGGTAGCTAGTTCCCGTTACCCATCCGTCAAGGCCGACGGATTTCCCCGTCCCCGTCCCTTTGTCGGGGCGCGTTTGGTTTCCGTCACCGTCCCCAGACGGATTCGGGTAAACCACGGATCACCACGGATCCTGAGAAAAATACAAAAAAAAAAGAGGAAAAAACTAATAAAAAATCCCTGAAATTCAAACTTCAAAGTACCTTGATGTTAAAGGCACATAAATTCAAAACACAAAAGAGAATATCTGGGGCTGTAACCCTCCCACCACCCAACACCCAGATCTTCATTGTTCAAACAATGAAACAAAAGTGATAGGTTGCAGCAACCAAACAAGCTGCTGCAACCAAAACCCACCACCCAAAACCCATATAACATATTCTTCACTACACTAGCGTTCAAGTTCAAAACTCAAAAGGAAGAGATAAAAAACAAAGGCAGACAGCCCCAATAACATCATCCATAAATCGAACTAAAACCTATACTAATAGCACACACGAGTTCCTTTGATCTTTTCTTCCAAAAAGTAAGCAACACTATGCTGCTGGAAACCAACTCAACACTCAACAGCAGCATTCATCCTTGAAAAATGAAAAGCAATCACTGCAAGAAACAGAGTAGCAAACACAGTTAGATAAGTGAAAGTCACTTTTAAATTGAACAAGTTAAAAGGCTCAAGTCTGGCTCAATACCTTGAACCTTTCATTGCTTTGAACAAATCAGTCGTCTAGGGATATTAGATGCTTCCTCATCACAAGTCCCCCCTGAACTGTAAGAATAAAAAATTACAGTTAGAGATTGACACTATCAAACTAAGTACCAATCTAAATTGAACTAATTACCAGCTTCGTCTTGATCTTCAGTACTGGAATCTGAAATTGCTAGAGCAGAGAACATCCCTTCCATTGCCTCTACAGCAGCCTTCGATGATTCTGCAGATTGAAGAAAACAATGAAAAAGACAATTAATATTCAATCAAGTTAACATTTTAATGAAAAAGACAAGTAATTGCAGATTACCTTGTTGCATTTCCTCCATAATCCAACTTCTGGTACACATCATTGCCTCTATTGTATCATAGTGCAATCTACTCCGATGAGGGTCTATTAACCTCCCACCAGAGCTAAAAGCAGATTCAGAAGCCACTGATGTAATTGGTATGGCCAAAAAATCCCTTGCAATTGCTTGCAAAGTGGGGTACTTAAGGCCATTCAGTTTCCACCACATCAGTATATCAAAGTCAGGAGACCTTTTAGGAATCAGTTCCTCAAGAAGATAGTGATCCAGTTCAGTATGGACCAGAGTTGCTTTGCTTTTTTTTCCTCCGACTCACAAACAGTTCAAAATCAAGATCATCATTTGCAGGAGTAGAAGAACTATCATAAGCAGTTGAAGAACCAGAATTGTTCCTCTCAGACTTGGTTTGGTAATCAAGCACCAAACCACAAATACATTGCTTAATCTTATCAGCCACCAAGTCAGTATTAGTACTGCCAAACTTAGCAGCATAATACTCAATCACATGCAACTTGTATCTAGGATCAAGAACCACTGACATAGCGAGAACCAAGTGTATATCATCCCAATACTTAGAAAATTTCTCCCACATACTCTCAGCCATAGCCGAGATAAGGGAATTGGTATCAGCACACCATTCCAACAATTTCAGTCTCAGATCACAAACCTTGGGGAAAAACAAATTAGCAGTGGGATACTTGCTGCCAGAAAACAGCTTTGTGATCTCACTGAAAATTTCCAGCTTATCAATGACCATAGCAGCAAACTCCCAGTGCATACTAGTAGGGACAGTGGTGTATTGACTATCCCACTGCCTCAAACGAGAAAAAACATCTCTATACACAATGGCTGTAGATAGCATATCATAGGTGGAGTTCCACCTAGTTGGACAATCAAGCACAAGTTGCTTCTCACAAGGCACTTTAAGCTGCTTAGCAGTTTCAAAGAAGGTTTGTACCCTCTTAGGAGTGGACTTCGAGTACACAACACTATCTCTAACCAATTCAATGCCATCTTTGATGACTTCCAACCCTTCTTTCACAATGAGATTCAAAACATGAGCAGAACATCTCATTTGAACCAGCACACCATCCAACAACAGATAATCAATAGCAAGTTTAGTTTTCATATGAGTAATCATGGCATCATTGGTGGTACAGTTATCCAAGGTAATCGAGGACAACTTTCTATCAAGATTCCAACCAAGCAAACACTTGAACAACCTATCTCCCAACCTCTTACTAGTATGAGGGGCAGGGACAGAGATAAAATTCAACATCATGTTTTTAAGTTTCCAAGAATTGTCAATAAAATGACCAGTAACCGCCATATACCCCATCTTTTGGTTAGTTGCAGTCCACATATCAGTTGTGACTGCAACTCTACCAATATTACCATCTAAAACCTTCTGAAGCTTTGCCATCTCAGCTCCATATAAAGCAAATATGTCCCTCTTCACTGTATTTCTACAAGGGACAGTGAACTGGGGTTGCAAAGAACAACAGAAACGTTTAAACCCCACATGTTCAACAATGTTCAGGGGATACTCATGCACCATAATCATAGAGCACAATTCCTTCCTAGACACATCAGAATTGAATTGAGTAGCAGATAGGAGGGGTTTTCCAGTTGGTTTATAATCAGGACCAAGAACTCTCTGCCTACCATCATGTATCTTTCTTTGGGTGCAAGTTTTGTAATGGTTCCTCAAGTGGGAGGTTCCATTACTAGTATCACCACCTAAACGTTTTCGACAGTATTTACACTTGGCTTTAATCTCCCCATTAAACTTGACCCTCACAAAATGTGGCCAGACATCAGAAGTCAATTTACGATCTTCAGCCAGAATTATTTCAACATTTTCATTCCCAGAACCATTAGCATCATTCCCAGAACCATTATCAACATTCCCAGAACCATTAGCATCATTCCCAGAACCATTACCATTAACATTGTCATTACCATTACCATTACCGTTTTGATTAGAAGGCACAGTAGGATCATTCGCATTCAAAGCACAATTTTCAGTAGCACCATCCATCTACATAAACAATTAAATAATTGCATTCAATCAATCAACCAAAACTATAAACTACCCAGACAAATCACACAACACACAATACAAATTACAATCGACTAAATCGAGAGTTGAATTGGACCAATCAAAAAAGGAAAGTCTTCAATTGGAAGTTACCTGTAATCTGGAGAGGGACTGAGGGAGACTCTGTTCACCAGACTGCAGATGGTGAGCACTGAGCTGATGCCTAATGCGAAGCTAAACAACTCCCAAACAAAGCCAAAAAAAAAAAAAAAATTTAGCATGCATGCATCGAATGATAGAGACAGCTCATGAATCTGGAAAAAAAAATGGGTTAAGTTTGTGCTTACCTCGACTGTGCTCTGAGCAGAGTGCAGGTAATGGGTTTAAGGAAGAAGGCTGACCAGTGACCTGAAATTAATCGAGGGGTTAATTTATATACGAGAAGAAGGAAGAAGGCAAGAAAGTGCAGCAGAATACGAAAGGAAAAGGGAGAAGGAACTTATCTCGCTCGATGTGCGATATCACGTCGATTTCCCCCAATAGCTGCAAATCGAAGATTGCAGCGAGCAATTTAGGGCTCTGCATGCTGTTTCCCGACGAAATCGCCGGCAAAACTAGCATACAATTGGCAATCATAATTGTATAAACAAGCTGGATTGGGAGGAAATCGTGGGGAACAGCGAGATTTTTGAGCGGATTAGATGTTTGGAGATTCGATGGAGAGAAAGAAGCTAGGGTTTCGGGAGGTTCTCGAAGAGGAAGATGAGAGGATTAGAGGAATGGGAGCAGTCGTTTGGGACGGCGGAGAGTGGAAAATGAGAGATTAGGGTTTGCAGGGGTCGTTTTTTGGTTTATATACGATGTCTAAGCGACGTCGTTTTATGATTCGGGGCAGGGGCGGGGCGGATACCACTAATACCGTCCCCACCCATCGCCCGCGACCCACGGGTTTCGGGTAAATCCGAATCCGCCAAAAGCCCACAACGGACGGATTTTTAGGTTACAATTCGGGCGGGTTTCGGGTGGATACCCGCTGGGTCGGTCAGGGTTGCCAAGCCTACGGGTCGGCGCTCTCGCTCTGAAGCGCAAAAACGCGAATTTGAAGAAATTCGAACAAAATTCGCGAATTTTAATTTGTTGGAGCGCGTATTTTTTAAAATAGTTCGTGAATTGAGTTCATAGAAACAGAGAAGAATCCTAAGAGTCGAAAGTGATGACAACTAATTCGATGGAGGAGAAGAATCGATGGCTGGTTGATGGAGGAAGCGGAAAAGATGCCAAAGTTCTACATCTAGAAGAGAATCGAGTTATTGAGGGAGATCTTGAACTTTGAGGGGATGATTTCTTGGCGGCACAAGAGATTACAGTTTGGATCAAGGATTTCCAAAACTGCATGTGAATAGTCGATTGAGCTCGCCTGAGTTTTAAGGATGGTAGGTTGTAGGAGGACATGGGGGACGTTGATGGGAAGAAGGGATATTTGACAGGAGGTGAACTTCGTGAAGTGAGGTTCTGGATAAGTATTTAGAAAAGGATCGAGATATGAAGATGTTGCTGGCACGATTAAGAAGGAGAGCAGGGGACAGGGTCGGGCAGCCGCCGCCAACCGGCAACTTGTGTGTAGGCTGCTCGTTTAGGATTTTGAATGACAGCCAATTTTGGGCTCAATAGTTGGGCCATCAAAGTTTGCATGACCCGTAAGTTTTTATGGGCTATGCAAGCTTGGATTGTATTTGTGCTCTTGCGTAAGTAGGTAAATTTCGATTTTATGTTCTTAATTGTTTTATATATTTGGTTTCACTTATTGACTTTAGGTAATTAAAGACACTGAGGTAGGAGTATCCATAGAACTTTGTATTTGTCTCATTTTCCTATTACATGGGAGTTTTCGTCTCAAGATATATTAATATTTTATATAATATTTTAATTAAAATAATACAATATTAACACTCTATTGACGCTCTAAACTTATCATTCTTTAAGAATAGACGCTCTCACACTCTCGCTCCCGCTCTACGAATCGGCAAGCTAAGTTTTACCACCGCCAAAATAACCTGCACTTCCTCATTAATCACTCCATCAGACCCTATGATAGAATCATACCGCCTCACTTGCAATCTCAATATTTGTTAGTACTCTCTCTGAATCAAGCACCAACCTTCTAATCTGTTTACGAGAAGATCTAATCCTAGTTATCTTGTGATTTGTGAAAGAATGAAGAATTAGCTCCTTTTCTAACCCATTAATTCGATCAGAAATATTAGAGAACTCATCAGTCTTCTTTAATTAGATACTTTGCACGATAACACATAGTTTTTGTCTAGGCTCTCTTCAACACAAGCCCTTGTCTATATGCTAGCCCATCTAGCCCCACTCATAACCAAGGGTACATATAGTGATGACAATTTCAACCCGTCCGCGGGTATTACCCGACTTGATCCGTGATGCGGCGGGTATTACCCGACCCGCAGTAACGTGGGTGGAGCATGGGTATCTACTTCCAACCCGCCCTGCCCCGTTCTAGACTCATTTTATCTCAATTTCTTACAATATCTATACATGTTTCTCCTATTTTAACTTTTCTTCAACTAGTTAGAGTCGATCTTTCAACTTGTTAGGCTCAATTATCCATTCTATTATAAATATTTTTCATTCTTAAAGTGTTTTTCCCTACGTTTTATTGTAAAAAGTAAAATTTACTTTTATTTTTTTTTGAACAACATGTAAGAGTGGGTCGACCCGCCCCGCCCTGTACCCAAGTGGGTTTACCCGAAAGGTTAAATGTTGTGGCTATCATGCAACTGTGCAGGTCCAATTTTTTACTATACTCCTTCTAAAGTCCTCTCTTAAAATTAATATTCTAATCTAGTATCTAACTCACTATTCCTACTCGGGTAGCCAAGAAATCTTGTAGGTCTTGAAACATCCCATTACTTTTGCCATACGTCTGCTGCTCATCGAGGCTATTAATTACAGTCCTAACTATGAGGATGACCCTAATCGGTTAGTTGGTTAACCGTTCAACCGTCAGTTACTAAACGTTTAACCGTCGGTTAATAATTAATTAGCTAAATTTGACTACCAAAAAATGACCATTACCGCGGTTAATAATTAATTAGCTAAATTTGACTACCGAAAAATGACCATTACTGTTTAATCTGATATCGGTGTGACCATTAGTCACCCATTCTGATTCGAATATCGATTACACCGCTAACAAGATAACCGTTTATAGGCCCTGTTTAACCGAGTATGAGAAAGGTGAATTGACAAAAAAAAAAAATTATTTATGTTTCCCAC